GACGGCCGCGGTTATATTGTAGTTGTAATTGTTGTTGTTGTTGTTGTTGTCGTTGTCGTTGTTGTTGTTGCTCTTGCTCTGTGTACGTGTGTACTTACCTATGCGATACGATATGTACGATTCGTAATTGTGCTGTATCAGGTTCTATAATGTTGCCAAACGCGCGTCGTTTTGCAACTATAACTATTATATTTCACATCACGCGCGATGTGTACAACGAGAGTCGACGGGCCGCGGCCCGCGAGCGTAATTAAAGGTCGCGGAGAGAGAGAGAGAGAGAGAGAGAGAGCGAGAGAGAGAGAGAGTGAGAGAGAGAGAGTGATGGATGGACAAACTACGGGGCGGGCACAAAGACGAAAGCCCGGGAGACAAACGTTGGGACACACGATGGGCGGCGGACAGAAAACGGTATAGGCAGACCCAGATTAAGGAGGCGGGGGCAAAGGTGCCCGCAAAGACCGTGTCGTATTGTAAGTCGAATCAAACATTCGACGACTCTTTTTTTTTTTTTTTTTTATGTTTTTTTTTGTTTTGCTTCATTTCAACGGTGTCGAGTGTCCTTATTAATGCAAGGGCTCCCGGGCCCCCGGGATCCTCAATCCGGGCCTGAGCACCTGAGCATAGGTTAACGTCGCGCTTCCGGAGGAATACGCGTCCCCGGGGACTCGACGTGAATTCCTGTTGTCCGGCCGCGCGGTTTTCTACGACGATTTCGGAAACGGGACACGATGTATCCGCGTCTATTATCGAAATATCGTCGTCGCGGCCGTTTTCGTTTGTGTTGCTGTTAACGTTGTTGGGGCGGCGGCGGGTTTATTATGTTCGGCGGACCTCGTGACGGTCACGTGCGGTATCCGTTATAGCGAAAATAAAAAAAAAAAAAACCAAATAAACTCCCCGGTAATCGACCCGGGTCGATAGTAAATAAATAATTATTTAGTCGCCGACGTGCCCGCGGGGCCCCGTTTCGGTGAATCGATGAAAAAAAAAAAAACGAAAAAAAAAAAGCGTTATAAATAATACGCGAGTAAATAATGTGAACTCCGCGCAGACTGCACGGACGTGCACACAAGAACCGCACGCGATACGCGGCCGATTTTCGGTTGTTTTTTTTTTTTTTCCCGGTTGATTTTTCCCGAACTCTTCGGAAATACGAAACATTGCGCATACCGCAGTGACCGGCGGAGTGTACCTATATGAATCGTATTAATAAATAATAATCAATAATCCGCGGACGACGCGAGATGTCGTACCGGTAGTTTACCGGAATGATATTCGCGATTTCGTTGTTTTCGTCGTTGCGAAGGTCTTGAAGAATATTTAGAATATTTATTGTCAACAATCGCGCCCGTTTTTCCAATATATTATCGCACAGTTGTCGATGTGTACGCCGTCGAAAAACAATAAAGTAATAATTAATAATAATATTACGTCCGAAATAGCCTCGTAAATCGTTTGCCGGTTAGCGGGACGGAAAAAAAAACCCAAAGATAACGATGCGTTGGAACAATCGACGGACTAATAATATACACAGAAAAAAAAAAAAAGGAAAACGGACAGGGCGTGCTCGTATCACAGCGAATCATTCTGTATACATCAATACATGAATAAGGCCGTTTGGGACGTGCGAAAAAGGCGAAAAAAACCGTTCGCCAACAAAAAATGGTGTCACGGTATTGCGCGTCCGCGGTTATTATTGTGTCGTTAGAAAAAAAAAAAAATCCATATTTTTTTTAGATCCGCCGCCGCGGTATGAATCGACGACGGCGTTCGGACACACAATTGCATTGCGGCGCACTCGTCTCGGATAGGGGATAATTTCTATTGGTTTTTGTTTTTTTTTTTTTTTTCTGTTTGCGGGGGGAGGGGAAAGTAAAAAATGTCGTCCGGCCCCGAGTGTAATACCATACAAATTATTATCCAATTGACAATTAGTTAATTATTAGCGACAATTCTTTTTCCCCCCGTAAATCGCGCCCGGGCCGCGCGTTTGCGCGCGTCCGACGGCGTTGCCCCTTTATAATTGGCCCCCTGACCACCACCATCCCTCTCCCCCCCCACCCCGGGGCCGTACGCCGCGCCGAATACACGATAATATTCGCGATTCGTCGGAATAAACGAGCGATAAATAATACAACCGCCCCGAAGCGCTCTGCGTTTTCCGCGCGCCGAACCCTCGCGAGCTATCAACGGCTCTGCGGTTTCGGAACAAAACGGAAAAACGGAAAAAAAAAAAAAAAAAACCGTTAAGACCGCGACACAATAAGTACCTAATATGCGGCACAGGCGTGCACCGCTCGTGTGTCGCCCTCCTCCCACCCCTCCGTTCCGACGGATCCACAAGACCTCGATTGTAATAAGCGGCGATCGATCGCGTTCGGTCGACCGGAGTGTTACCAATGTACATTGCACAGTTTGTGTATATTTAAATAATAGCGACGTGATAATGACACGAAGCGTGACGCACTCACCTTCCCGTCTTGGTGATGATCATTTCCGTGCCCAGTTCGTGAAATTTCGTCCACAGCTCTTTGGACACGGACTCCAGGTAGCATTCCGTCGACACCAGATCCGGGCTGGTGCACTTCGCCAACATGGCCGACAGGTTTTTCGATGCGACGGAATCGTGCGGTGGCGGCGTCCGGTCGCCGTCCTCGGACGAGGCGCTCACGGTTTCCCGGCACCGCTTTTTCTTCGACGAGCCGCCGCCGCCGCCGCCGCTGCCGCCGGCCGTGCCGTTGTTTTGCTTGGCCGCGGCCTCCGACGACGACGCCGAGGACCGGGCGTGATGATGGTGTTGATGGTGGTGGTGATGGTAGCGCGCCGACGGGTTGCCGGCCGCCGAATCTTCCGGCTCCGACGTTTCGACGACGTCCACCTCGACGTCCAAGTCTTCCGTTCCGCCCATCGAACCTTCGCCCTCCGCGCCTGCGAACACGTATCCGTCCGTTCGTTATCACATTATATTAGTTTGTCCGCCGGCGCACCGCCCCGGTATCGCACCGTGTCCCCCCTGCCCCGGTCCGTGTCATCGGAAAAGACAGTTTCGGAAACGACACGGGCAAACGCGAAATTCGCGCCGACGTGCGGCGCGAATCGCGATAAACGCGCACGGTGTCGTGGCGAAACGCAACAGACTACGAGATGGAGCGCCGACGCGCGATTGAAAAATTACACGGTATTCGTTTACGACTACCGGCGGGCTACTCTGCTGCGGGCGGCCCGCCGCGAATCTTATCGGATTCCGATGGGGAAAAAAAAAAAAAATAATAATAATAATCAAAAAATAAATCGACGCCGGTTCGGCGATCGCGACGGGTGTCCGCGTATTCATTGTACCGTGTTGAAAGACCCGTACGGATCGCGAAACGCCGTCGGAACAACGTCGCATTTGGCGAATTGCTCAATCGTCGATGCGAACCGGCACGGTGACGAATACGCGACTTGTCGGTTAAACAAACGAACACCCGTAGTGAACATAAACGTCTTCAACAAACCGCGAACGTTTGCAAACATTCCCTTCTTGCGGGTTATTGAAATCGTTAAAGGTACTGGTGTTGACGATTGATATACAAAAAGCGAGCAAATGATATGCGCTTACAGAAAAAAAAAAAAAAAAATGCGTTCGTTACTAAAAATCTTAGATACGACTTCGGAAAAAACAAACATTGAAACGCCGTTCGTTAGAACCGCAAAAGCTTCGACGCGTTTCTTACAAGTAGCGGTTGGTTTAAGGTCTCTGAATGTGATTCCGAAATAATTGGCAACCCCCCGTTCGGAACAATTAACGTTTTAAATACGAATTTGAAAAAAAAAAAAAAAAAACTCGTTTTATAATAATATTTAAACATCTACGTCTAACATTTAAGTTTTTACGTCTAAATGCGTGTCGTTACACAACGGTAATTATTTTCCCATTCGTGTTCATTTATTTATTTATTCAATGGAGTTTTCGTTTTTCCTGTTACTTTTGTTATTATTAATATTTAAAATTTGTCGCTCTCTTTTACGTTGTTTTTCATCGCGACATAATAAAATCATAGTGCTCTCAGGAGCGTTACCGCTTCCACGGTGTATCAATCGATTTTGTGTAACGACACGCGTAAACTTTATATTTCTTTAACCGGAACTTTAAATAAAAATAAAAATTGTTAATTGATACTAATCACTCTTTATACGCATTACGAATTTGCCGTAGCCCGCGACATAATCATCACACCGGCGTTTCTCAAACAACTGGTTGCGACCCGCCAACGTGAGTCCGCCCGGGTAATTTTTGACGGGTTTTGTTTTGAATTATATTTTTAGATACTGCGCGGAGCAAAGAATGTATTTAACAATACAATGGTTTTTTTTTTTTTTTTTTTTTTGAAAAATTGTTCTGAATTGTGCGATTTACGCGCGCCGGGATAGTTCGCGGGATATTAATTTGAAAATCCGTTTTTCGAGCGGGCCACGGGTGTCCTAATTGTATTTTTTTTTTTTCCGTTTCGCATCGAGTACAATACGTGACGTCGCCGCGCTGCCGACGCGTAATCATATCGTCGAATCTCGACTCGAAAACCCACCGTTCAACCGCTACATGTATTTCCACCAGCGAATAACGGACGGTAATAATGTAAATAACGTGTTGTACGACGAGCACAATAACTTACCGAACACCGCGGCGGCCTGTCTCGGGTCGGGCGCGTCGTCTTTGCGCATAATCGCGTCGATCGAAAAGTCCGTGGGCTTTTTGATCGCGCTGGCGGGATGCTGTTCCTGGTTGGCCGTGCCCATGATCATATTATTGTTGTGGCCGTCGTCTCGTTCGGGTGCTGCGCGCGCGGTTGTCCGCGTGTTTCCCGATCGGAACGGAAAACGGAGCGACAAGGTGAAAAAGAACCGCGGGACGAGTGCAACGTGTGCTACGCGCAGTGTGCTTCGCGGTCGCCGGAGACGCCGTGTGTACTACGCGCAAATGTGCGTCCGCGCGCTGTCAAACGGACCGGACGCTCGTCGCTGACGATAATATCATCGCGGCGGCGGCGGCGGCGGTGGCGGACGAACAGACGGACGACAGATAAAAAAAAAAAAAATAAATAAACGGGAAAAACCGGCGACGGTTGTACGATGAATAACAACAATTGTACGTTAATTATTATTGTCCCGGCGATTCGGTTAGCGCGCGACGGCGAATACGCGGCCGACTGTTCGCAGACCACTGAAACGGCGACGGGGAGAGAATCGCGGTCGGTCTGCTGCGCGGTGGGCTGCCGTGGCGCGACGACGGTGAACGGTGACGCGGTGACGGTGTGCGGCCGGTCGGGTCAACGTCGCGATACTGAACCTGGCGGCCGGTGCGCGGGTCGGCGCGCGGCCGCGGTCCCGGCGGCCGGCGTACCGCCCACGGCCGCGTGCGGGGGGGCGGTGGGCGTGTCCGCGCGATATCGATCTCGCGGCCCGCGCGCCGCGTCCGCCGCGGCACGGGCGTGGCCACGGCGTTCGGGCCGCGGCCACTCGCGCACGAACTCGCGACGGCGGCGGCGATAATGTGCGCGCGCTCGCCCTTTGTTGACTTTTCCCCACCTCCCGGTCCCCTGTACACTACTGCCGCGACTACGCGGACCCTCGCCGCCGTCGCCGCCGCCGCCGCCGCGCGGCCGACCAGAGACGTTTTTTTTTTTTTTTTACCGCGGGTCTCTCCGCGCCCGCCCGTCGTCTAGATCGCGCTCGCGCGTCCGGGGGGGTGTTTGGTGGGGGGGGGGGTGAAAGGAGGGAGCTCTTTCTTTGCCGCTTTTTTTTTTCCCTATTTCATCGCCGACCCGGTGCCGACACCGCGCCGCGCGCCGAACACCGCAATTTAATATTATTGTTTTTTCGTATTGCACCGGCGGCGGTGCTCGCCGCGTTTTTCCGCCCGCGTACCGCGGATACCTTGGTCGCGGCACAATATATTATCGTGCCGCGTATCGTTGCTGCGGCACATTAAACGCGCGGGCGCGCCCGTGACGGACATCCGTCGTGTCCGCTGTGACCAGTGGCGTACCTATGTAAAACAATGGGTGGGAAATGTTGCGGGCGGACGCCTCGGGCTCACGGCCGATGGGGCTCTTAGCAGTGGCCTTGACCAGAGCCCCGTGACGCACTGTTGGACATGGGCGAGGGTCTTTTTGAACGATTTTCCTCTATCTTTCTGCCGGATCGGCCTTCAGGGCAGGGCCTTTATACAATATTTCGCAACTACTAATGCCCGTGCACTATAGGAGTTCAAATGGTTACGCCGTTGCAGAGCCCGTTGTCCCTAAGGAGCTGCACACCGCACAGTGCACGCCCCGTTCGTTTTACAGAAGCGAACAAATTGGCCGCTCGCTTATGCAACACACAACAAATATCATCGTAAATAGTGCAATAATTATGTTCGTTATTAATTTGGGTACCGCGACAAAATAGCCCGGTATAAATATTCCCGACAGAATATCCCAATAAAAATATTCCACGACGAAATATCCCACGTAAATGTTAATTCAACATTATTATAAAAGTTAAATAAACCTATAAAACTAGTAGATTACACGATTACTATTAACATTTATAAAACACAAACAAATTCTATATTAAAAATTTATTAATGTGATATAAACACGAAATTTATTAAATAACATGTTTTCACGCTAGACGCTTTGTAAAAAAATTAAAAATAAATATTCTTTTAGATTCGTAGTGGAACGAGGAATGTATTGGTTTTACTACCACAATGTTTATTATGTTCATCTAAGCTGTGAGCCAGTTATGTTTATCTAGAGGTACGGTCTTGAATGGCCGAAACCAAGAAAGAAGAAGAAGAAGAAGAAGCTGTGAGCAACTTTTCTACCGGAAGTATTACTTCGATTTACAAGTGTAGCACTTTTTCTGAAACGAAATTTGACTGGGGTGGAACTATAGGAAGGGCGTTTCTTTTTGATTTTCTCGTGAGTTTTCTCAATATATTGGAAATCCCGCGGATGTGGGAAATTCAGATATTCGTTAAAAAATATTACGGCCTATTTTTCTTCGTGTTTTCTCGGTTAACCCACAAATGCGGTACGTTGTCATATGGCAACGTGAATAAAATTTTTTTCGGACATTCTATACACGAAGTAGGAATTTCTCATATTGTCATCATACTATCATACCGTCAAAAAGTGTTGACTTTGACTGGTTTTATATTTTCCGCAACACCGCAACCGCGGTATATGTGCTTATTGTAATCGGCTACCGAGTCCAGTCGGTAATATCACAATAGTTTTATAAATTTTCACGCGATATTTATTTTTTATGTAAAACGCACGACGTTTTCTCCGCCTCTGACATTTTCGGTATTATAATATAATACAGAGCTGTTTCCGCGGTAGTTTTTACCCCAACTGCTGCGGTTGCGTATGTATACTGCTCAGCAGTATATATAATAAATAATAATTATTACACATTAATACGCGAAACGCAATCAACGAGAATTGCCGCAACACTCGGCACCGTGAAAACATTAGGCACCGCGTGTTGAGTTAACGTTTGATATTAAAACGAACACGCGAATGAACGGAGTTCGTTTTATACATTGGGCCGGCGCAGCGTATTAAAATATTTCGTTGAGACGTTAATATTATACACCGGCTATACGTTCAACTATTAACTCTCCGCACTGTGTTACAACAAATGTGCCGGACGTTTTTTTATGTACGCATACTTTTCAACGTTTAAATCTGCAGTCGTTTAAATAACACGATCGAATAAATTGTTAACTATGTACGTATAGAGTATACAATCATTATTGATCATTTCAACTTAACGTGAATCGTACAGTAGATCGGGTTTACAAAGTGGAAAAAAAAAAACACAAATAATTGCGTGTTAATAACTGTATAACACAGTGTTAGACATCGTCATAGGTTTTATGAAATATTATAAAACTCTTTCTAGGTGCTTGTAAGGAGTTTTTTGTTTGTTAGGTTCTGAGTGTAGCGAAGAATGTATTGGTTTTACTGAGATGTTTAATATGTTTTTTTCTTATACTGTCTACAAAAATTCTACCAGAAATCTTGATCAGATGTATAAGATGTGTGAATTCTTTTCTGAAAGAAAATTTTTTTGAGGCGGTAGTTCAAAGGGGTCGTTTTTTTGGTTTTCCCGGCAGTTTTCCCGACAAACGAGAAAAAATGGAAAAAAAACTTAAGAAAACAGGGAAATTTCCGAATATAACGCTTTTATTGTTTTTACAATTTTGTTATTTGTTGTAAATCAGTTAGAAATATTCGTCAGAAAAATAAACAGAAAACTTTTGTTTGCCTTATCTAGACGTGGTATAATTTTCAAACGATTTAAGGCATTTTTAAGCTATTAATATATATTTTAGTTTTGCGAGTTTTGTACGTAATTTTTGTTCGGTAGGTACTCTGTAGTAAAATCGTTAAACTTAACAGAAATGCTTGTGAAAAAAAAAAAAAAACAATCGCTGTCAAAATTATAGCGTTTTGAAATTCCGATATTGTGCGGATATTGTATGTTATGTTAAATAATAGAATATGTTAGTTATACTCGAATGGTTTTAAATATCTATTATCATCCTAAGGATCGCGAGTTACAAACCAGTGTTTCGAATAAAATAGTTATTTTTGATCTTTTACCTTAACAGGGGAAAAAAAATGCATTTTAGATGCACCTAGAGACCTAGCTATCACTGACTATTTTAATCGCAAAATACCTTACCGATTTGTTGTGCAAACTATTCTACTAGAAATCTTGCTCTGATATATCAAGTGTAGCTAATTTTCCGAAAGGAAATTTTATCTCCACGGTAACCTAGGGAGGTCAGTTTTTGATTCTTCAACCGGTTTTTGTTATACCTTAGGATAGTTGGTGAAAAACGTAGGAAAACTGGGAAAATCGGTACAACATTAAGCACATATATTATTGAAGAAAATATTTAACGCCTATATATTTAACTATTTTACCATGATATGACATATATATATATTGTTGACAAAGCATCGCTTGCAACTGAACTCTGCTCAGAATCGTTTTTTCGTAAGCAATGGTCGATCGTCGCTAACTGTTATACATTAAATCACCTATAACGGTGGCTGCACCCGTCCCCATTATCCTAGGACGTCTTTTTAATAACGTTTTATTAGTGTTAAGGGCGATGATGACGGTCAAGGAACTCCTTGTTCACAGTATTATTTTCAGCATCTTAAATTCCTAAATAATATAATGTAATATAAGTGTACAGCGAAATTAGTAAAAATGTATCGATTATTTCTGAAAGTATTTATCCGATAGCATTTCCCCCCCCCCCCCCCCNCCCCCCGCGTCCAATTAAATATAATATGCACGTTTCACATTACCGTGTACGGGTGCAAAATACGCGCTTAAAAGTTTCGTCTGGCAAAATACACGACGCCCGTGTGCGTCCCAACCCGGATATTTCACGGTAAATCGGCGTTGTCCGGGTTATCCGGCCGATTTCGTTTTTATTTTCTACACATTACAATACGTGCGTCGCCCCGCGTGTTCGAAACGCGTACAAACCCCGGCCCGAGTCGACCGTGTTCGATGACATACACCGGTGGCGCGCGCAGGATTTTTTTTTTCCGAATGGGGTTTTCGTTCGCAACGGTTTCCTCTAGAGGGGAGGGGGGGGGACAGCGCACGTGTGACGAGTGCCACATCGCGTATCGTTATACCGAACGAACGGTTTTCGATGAAAATATTTCGTTTCAGTCCGCGGTATGGGACGACGCGTTGTACGCACCGCGCTGCTGTTGCACGTGAAACTCGATTTAAACAATGTAGCGGCGAACCGGGACATTCCGGGAGGGACTTTGAACCCCCCCCTCGCCCGCCCCTCGCCGTAAACCGTCTTCCCGATCTGCGCGCGCCACTGCGGCACGCCGCCGAGACGCACGACGCCGGTACACTCGGCGTTTGCGAGGACTCGACGGGAACCGTTGGTGTACCGTGGAAAAATTTCCGAAACTCCGCGCGTAACAACACGCGCGAATATTTATACCGCCGTCCGCGCATAATGTACACGCGCGTAACACGTGTACGACGCTATTGCAATGCATCCCGGACAGATGGCCGTAATTGCCACGGGGTTTCCGAAACAACATTATCGTTATAATTATGTCCGCGCTCCGTGTGTGGCACTGCCGACCGTGCCGTCGCGTCGGCACCGCCCGTTGTCGCGGCGAATACGAGCCACGATGACAAGTTTCCCGGTCGCACGTACGCGCGTATCGTACACGACAATACGTGTACATCGACAACATAATGTCGC